GCTGCACAAAGTGAAATGGAATATTAGAGAAGCACCCACCTTGTTAATCAAGTTGCAATGATACAACTTAAGAGTCCTACTCTTCAGGCCAATTTATGGATAAAAAATGTGTCAAAAGTGCAGTGCCGACCTGCCTTTAAGCACATATATGATACTAGGAAACCATGCAAATAAGTGATGCAACAACTCTAATAACCAAAATGTAGGTCAATTTTGCCAAAATTCTAGAACATTCTGGTTGTCCAAAAGTACCAGACAGGTTACTAATTTTCAATCCATGACAATTTCATTCCAGCCTTTTGAATTATTTTGTGTGGTGTTAGAAGAATACGCATCTCTTTTTCTTTAACAAATCAAGGGGTGTTTTACCTGCTTCACAGGATTCTATCTTAGAAAATTTGGTGAAAATGCAATTTATCATCCAAATACCATAACATATGGTATCTTCGCCTCCAAATAAGACCGTTATATACAGTGCTTAGCAAAGAGCCCTGCTTTTAAAGCATGTTGCAGAACTTAGACAAAAAAAAAAAAAAAAAAAAAAAAGACACACCATCACTGCTAATGACGGCTGTTTCCTACCACGCACTATGTTAGAAAGCTTTCGTTAGCATTTGATGGTAACTAATATTATCTAAAGGGTACAGGTATTTCTCAGTAGTAATTTCTAATCATACTATTTCCATAAAGTTGTGATGAGTTTGTTACACTGAACATTGTTTCTTCCCCACTCTTAGGGAAAAAAACTAAGGTTACAATTTAGAAAACGTGGTTATCTGGAAAAGCAGGAAGAAGAAAACCCACACCAGGACTAGGAGTGGGTGACCTTCCTCTATTCAACTACAAATCTTCTGTGATGGGTTTAGAGTAGCTAATAATAATCAAAGGGTAGACGGAAAACAGCCAGTCACCCACGATCTGTATTGAGATACCCTCTTAGTAAATATGGGGGGGGGATAAAACTGGCAAGATAGCAGTTCCCTGTTAGCAAACTTCTTTAGACGAGATTATTCTATCCCCCTGCAGAATTTAAACTTTTATTTCCTCCTTTACATTACTTTGTACATTTATATGATTTCATTGTTTAAAAGCAAGTGTTTCATTCATCACCTTGCTGTCCCTAACTAGGACAGTGCTGGCACGCAAACTGGCTAATTCTGTACCAGGATAATGCCTACGCCCTGCTATGAGGTCAGTGAATATGTTTTAATGAAGTTAACTCCTTGGGCACACGTGAGAAGACAGGAAAGGGGAAAGGTCATTTCTCTCTTTAAGTCACCTAGTGGTGCTAGGAATAGACACCAGGTCGCATTCACAAAGTACTATGGCAACATTTTGATGAACTTTTGGTTTAGGAACCTTAAAACACGAGAGCAATAAAACCCCCTTTGATGGAAATTTGAGTTCTTTTGTGGGTGTGCCTTTTTACACATTGATGATATGTCACTCATGGGTCCCAGCTTCTACGTTTAAACATCTTTTTGCTAATAAACATATATTTTGGAAAGAGAATCAATAGGTGACATTATGTTGAAACATGGCTCATTAAACTATCATTTAAAAATCTCCCAATAGTTTAAAAAAAAAAAAAAAAAGAAACACAAAAATCTCCCAATAGTTAATATAAGCTGCTAGAGACAAAAAGACTCTAGGTATTTTTCCTTGGTTCTTTGGGAACCATGGATGCCTCGTTTTTTATTTTTGCTTTGTTTTGTTTTTTTTTTAATGGGAGTCTTTAGGCAAGAAGACTACAACAGAATAGAAAATTGATGGTCTACTAGTGTCTCAAAATCCCAGACAAATATAGAAGCAAAAAGGGCAAGGAAAGGTGTCCTTGTCTAATTTTCAAGGGAGATGATCCAATACTTTGAAAAGACTGGTAAGATTTAACTGCCAGTACCTTTGACATATAAGGATGAAATTCTGTTTAAGGAAACATCAGTCTCTTTTGATAAATAAATGTAATTAAAAAAAAAGCCAGGATGCAGTAATAACTTGATCTAGTGAAATTTATATTCATTTAATCAATTTAAAAAACTTAAATGGATGCCTTCCACATACTTGCAATTATGATTCAACTTAAAATTAAACATGTTTTAAAGCATCCTATCATGGCAAAACTTAAAGAAGTTTTGTTGATTTTTAAGGACTAGTCATGCCAACAATGTAGATTTGATGATAGAAAACATCTAAAACTTCACAGACTTACTGACATATGAGTCTATCTGAAGATCGTAAATTCTATGTGAAATCAAATCTTGGATGATTATAAAAAAGTAGACATCTATTTCATGTGTAGTACTTAACCTCTGCATCCAAAGTTCCATACATGAGAGTACTCAACAAACCTTCAAACACCAAAAGATAGTTACCTGCAATGTGACAGGAAAGCTTGAAAACGCACCCTGCAAAAATAGTTCAGCCAAGTACAATTCCTATTGAGTCACTACCATTGCATCTTCCTCATTTTTTCTTATCCATGCAAGAAATTTGCCTGGGCAGGAATACTTTTATAATCTTTTCTACCCCAAATGTGCTATGATTCTGCAATTCAATATATGGGCAATTGTCAGGAAAAGAATTTTGTTATTAAGGGAAAAATAAGCAAACAAAAAATAATTCTGCAACTCCAACACCTTTCTAGTGCTACAAAACTTGGCTCGTGTCTGAAATTTTAACATTTTAGTGATCGTGTACAAAGCATCTATCTCCTCAGACTCACACAGAACTTTCTTAAAAAAAAAAAACTAAAATTTTATCAGCAACACGAAGTAGCAGATTAGACCCCAGATTCTTAATCAGTTTGAGCCTTGGTCATTTGAGACTACAAACCAAAATGGCTTAAGGTCACCTACAGAGAGTGGCAGAAGTTCTCTATTTGTAGACAGGTTAGGTTTTTGAGTTCATTTGATTCCAAATCCAAAGTAACCCCATAAAAGTGACCAATCATTAAAGCCATGTGTTAAGGGCAGTTTGTGCCCAAGCCAAATTTTATACTTATATAATTGACTCAAAGTTCTTTTTTTTTTTAATTAAGATTTTATTTATTTCTTTATCTGAGAGAGAGAGTGAGCAAGCACAAGCAGGGGGAGCAGCAGAGGGAGAGGGAGAAGGAGAAGCAGGCTCCTGGCCTAGCAGGGAGCCCGACAAGATGGGAGGGGGGGGGCCCTCCTCGTTCCCAGGACCCTGGGATCATGACTTGAGCCGAAGGCACCCAGGTGCCCCTGATTCAAAATTCTTAAAGAAAGTAGCTATGTAGTTGTCTTTGTTCTTCAGAGGCAATAAAGTAAGAATGCAGACTGGCAGCTAGACTCCAGTGTCAGACTCTAGGCCTCAAAAGTGGCCCAACAGCATCTCCCATCCTACATGTTCTTCTATAATGGGACCTTGCTGTTCCTCCATCAAGAGGTGGAGTCCAAATTCCTCCCCTGGAATCTGAGCTTCCATATGGCTCCTCTGTGATTTTCCAGGCTAGTTAAGACAGAGACTGGTTCTCTTAGGACCCTTTCTGGGAAAACCGCTCATTCTGTAATAAGTTCGACTACCCTGGGACCACCATTCCAGTAAGGCCGGTCCCAGCGGATTCCAGTCTCCCAGCCATTTCCACCAAGGTGCCAAACCCAGTGAAACCATTTGGAAGAAGATCCTGCAGTTCCAGATGTTCCAGTCCCCAGCCATTCAAGTCACCCTCAGCTATGTCCCCCAGACATCCTGGAGCCCCAGATAAACCATCCTCATTATGCCCTATCTGAATTCTTGACCCACAGAAGTCATGAGCATAATAAAATGATTGTTGTTTTGTACCACTAACTTTTGAAGTGGTTTGTTTCCCAGCATTACTAACTGGTACTCTCTTGGAAAAAATGTCTCTACCAACGACTGAAAACTTGGCAAACTTATAAAACGCCTGGTCTCTTCAGTAACATATAGGGATAACATTAGCTACCTTGCAAGTTTACTGTGACATTGGGAATAATGGAGACGTCTGCCCTGTAATAGTACTAACAAAAAGGGTAGCTATTAGATAATAGTTTTGTGATCCTGATCTACCAAGAGCATAGTTAAATGCTTGGTAATGCATAGCAAAATTTAAATTTGAAACTCACAGCATACTTCATTATTCAATGCAAAGAGTTTACCTTTTAAGGGGGTGGGGGGAGTCCTCAATTATCCAAAAAAAAATCACTTTGGGCTTGTTTTAATGAATATATAATAAGGAAGAAACACAACCCTAATGAGCAGGTATTTTTATATATTTAATTTTAATGACAAACCATTTGAAGCCATTAAATTGTATGAGGTCACATGAATGGTAAGTGGCCAAGTTCAGGGCAGTTTGAATCTAAAGCCTCCTGTATTCTCAACACTACTCTGCCCTCCTACAGGTTTACATTATAATTTAGCATAGTTCATATAGAAATTTACTGTGGTATTTAGATAATGTATTCCAGGGACTTATTTTGAAGCATCTACAGTCCTTTTCACTAATACATCTAGTAGTACTGGATGTATCTTTGGTCCCACTAAGTAGTCTTACCATTAACAGAAACTTGAAAGAAATTCCTATATTTGGTAATATATACCAAATATATTCCTGACAGCAGGCAAAATCTATTGACTAAGATGTGCTTTTGTTTGCTTTGGTTTTATTGTGAAATGTTTTATGAAAGACCAGGCTTCTCACACACCCATCAAATCCCTTTGCTGACAAAAGACTGATCTAAATGGTTCCCTGGAGATTACAATCATTCTATAAATGTGAGCAAAAGAGGAATTATATCTGTCCACAAATTAAAACATCCTTTGTAGAAGTCAATCTTGGGAGCTTGAAAATCTTAGGAGATGGTAAAAGAAAAGATCGTGAAATAAGTTATACTTGGTTTTCTCCAACTTATTGAGAAAGTTTTGGTGCTGAGTGCTACTCTTTGTATAATTTTCCACCCACCTATGCTGTGTAGGTTAAATAAAACTGCATTTGTTCTACTTACGTTCTTTTTCAGGAAGCCAGAAGAGGGTCTAACTGTCTGACCTCCAGGCCTGCAGAACTATTTGTAAACACGCATCAATATCAACTCATTTCGAGCAAGAAGCTGAACCTTTCCTGGAGTAAATCACACTGTGAGGTTTCCCAATGCAATTCTGTTTCCCTATGAAGTATGGATTCAAATTATGCACGAAGGACGTACACCTGAATTCAGAATCACTAAACCTCAGATTTTCTAAGATTTGCAGTTATTTAGGCAGTTTGGTTTATCTTAAACTACAACCCAAGGTGGGTTTTCTTACAAAGCCTGTTAAAGCGGAATTTTCTACTAGTTTTAGGAAAATGAGCTACATAGAAAGCACTCTTAAGAGAACCTCTTGTCAACTGAAAATAATAATATTCACCTGTTATTAGCATACGGTGCGCACTGCCATTTCAAAACTGCCAGTGACTCATGTTACAAATGAAGCTATTTTTAGGACAGTGCACGAATGATGTTAACAATATTCCTTGAAAAAGGCACTATTTGATCAAGTATTTCATGGATGGAAAAGATGCATAGATTCTATAGATGGAAAGATGGATAAATGCACTTGTTATATCCTAAAATTACTCTTAGTAAAACGCGTTCATTTGGCTATCTGCATGTCCTTGCTTTTTGCTCGGTCAATAAATCACATGGACGTCAAAAAAGGAATCTGCCTTATATGAAACAGCTACATATTTATAAATTTTAAAGCCACCCTAGAGGTTATACAGCACATTTTATGTCAAGTTTAGGGCATCAGCATTCTCTATCCACTTGAGCAATCCTATTTGCACTAAGGATTCTTTTGCAATGGCTACGAAATTTTAACAACTATATTCTAAACAAAAGTTATCAAAACTAAATGTGAGTAAGCAAAAGCCAAAAACACGACTACCATTTAAAATAAGCTGATTAAAGATTTATTAAGAGGCTGCACAAATCAGTAGTGGGGAAACTATCCTTAGAAATTCTGTGGCCGGCAGCCATGGGAGCACCACCTATTCGAAACTTCCTAATAAGCATACTTTATTATTATTATTATTATTTTGTTTCCACCGCGAATGACACAGTCTATTGGCCATTTTTCTCATTTGTCTTTTTGGGAAAACTTATAGCTTTAGATGAATGCCTGGACTGTCCCCCTACACTGAACTGGGACACCAGAGAAAAGCATTACAGTTGACTGACACCCGGATTACTGGTTCGTACTAGAAGTGCTGACGCAACCTTCAATACACCAGGACACAAAAGGCATGGTTCTGCTTTCGCTTAAAACCATAAAGCAGGTTATAAGCAGCAAACAACGCATATTTGGTACCAAAATTAAAATGCAGCTTTAAAAATAATGGCTGAGGGGAAAGTTTCCGTAGGAACTGGGCCTAATTAGGACATGCTGTCGTCAGTAGAAACATTCCTGAAATTTCCCTTCTGTAAATACAAGCTCATCTCTTCATAGTAGTTTTAATTCTAATTAAGACAAAGGTTTTTAATTAAGCCCCGAAGATCCTGGGGAAGGGCCTTCAGTAAAACTGTCCTTGGTGGCTCCTCCCGAGGTAATTCATTTCAAGAGACAATGAAGTGGATCTCTTAAAATCTTCAGAGAAGACATTTCCCTCTCTGCTTTCTGCTACTCCACACAGCAAACAGACTGAGAAAAGCTGCCTGCCCTCTGGAACAGGCAAGAGAAGCATTGCTCGCTTCAATTCAAGCTTCCCTCTTCATTTCAAAACATTTGTGGATAGAAGCTTCAAGTTCACAGAACATTTTAAGAAAGCACATTTTGTGAAGTGGGGGAGATAGAGCAATTTTCCATATTTTGTTTCCTTTCCTCCTGCACCCCCCACCCACCGCCTTGGAGAGGAAAAATGAACTGCTACTACATAAAGAAAGTCAAGAACTTGTTCCAGTTAGCCTCAAACAAAACCATCTCTATGCCTCCCACGTCATTTGCTCACCAACTACACTTTTTTCTGGGATGAAAACTATCTTAAGCAAAACAGAACTGAAGCTGATTTTCAGGAACCCAAATAGAAATAAATGCTGTGGTTATGAGTTTCAGCAGAAGGGTAGGATAACGGGCTTGGGGGGAAAAAAAATCAGAAACTGTCCCTGCCTCCAATTTCTACCTCGTAGAGACCTCTTATCTCTACATTTGCTTGAAGCTTGAGTCTCCCTATTTCCTTGCCTGGGGGGGGAGTTGCGGGGGAAGCTGAGATAAATGGGTATGGAGGCAATTAAGGAGAGATTAGCAAACACTGCGCACTGCTCAACAAACTCGGGTTGGCTTCTCCCCATTCCCCACATTCCTGGCCAAGAGAAAAGGATACGGGTCTGAAAAGAAAAGAGGAGTAGAGGCTGGTTTCTCTAACCTATCTGAAAAGTCTTTATGCAATCAGGGGGCTATTATTTCAGGAGACAGGAGAAAGGGGCAAAAGATTCCCGTTGCTAAGGAGACAAGCTGAAGCTGGCATTCCTACATAAATTTCCATTTCTATTGGAGAGGGGAAAGAAAAGATATTTTCTCCAAAGTTTATTTGGATCCCCTGGTTACTGAAGAAAGGCATTTTACCAATTTATTTTATCTTTAGTTGTAAACAACCAACCCTGAAAGAATTAAAAGACCTAAATGTTGACCTCCTGCTGCCAACCAGTCCCCTCCACAGTGAATTAAGCAACAAAGACGAACCCCGTCAATGGGAATTTTGAAGTAAAATCAAAGAAGAGGCCTTTTGTAAACAGAAAATCAAATTTATGAAAGAAACTTAATCAAGTGAACTAATCTTTCTTGAAACAAGAAACCAAGACAAAAGTAAATCAGGTTTGTGTGGCATTTGTGCTATTTCAACTTTCTTGGAACTTGAAACGTCTCCAGTAAAGCTTCATAAATAGTCCCAGAGAAGACAAACTGTCACGAAGGAATTTAATCAGTTTCTTAGGGGTACGCGTGGGTAAGTGTAAAATCACGGGCAGGTCCTCTCCCTTTATTCCCCTTTCTCTGCACTGACACCAGCAGCTGAATAATCAAGATTAGCGAGGAAAAGGGTTTACTGCAAGAAATCGGAAATTGGCAGATTTCTGCTAACGGCGGCGTAACTGGGACGCAGGGGAAGGCAACTGGGGGTCAAGGAGAGAGTAAAGCCCCCCCTTGGGGCTGGGTAGCCCCAGTGACTACCTTCTTCTCCACCCTCCACCCCATCCGTTTGCAGCTTCCAGTGCTAGCTGAATAAGCCACAACTTTCCAGGCATCTGTGAGTAAGTAGCTCATGGAGAAAGGAAAGGTCTGAAGGAGAGAGGAGGTATTTGGAGAGGAAGAGAAAGAAGGGCAACTCACAACCAACGACGTGTCACCAAAAAAGGAAAGGAAATTACTCCTGTCTCTGTTCCAACTCTCCAGATCCCTCAAAAATTTAAGGAAATAAAACCCAAACCGAAACTCCCCGGGGAAAACCGAGACAAAGTGGAGTAGAGCAGGCAGAAACGTGGGCACCAAGAGGTAAACTCAGGCAAATTCCTCCTTGAGAGAGGAGGGAGAAGAGAGCGGGGAAGACCGAGCAGAGGACCCGGGGCGTCTTGGTGGAGTTGGGGCGGTTTTGCCTCTTTCTTAACGTGAGTGGGGAAGGCGTTGCGTTTTTAACGCAGCCCCACGGCTCTCGCCTCGAAGGGTATCAATTAGCCCAAACAGCATACGTGTTACTCCAGAGCCCGAGGAATGGCCACGGGAGGACGGAGAGGGCGCGGGGCGTCGCACTGGGTCTGGCGACCAGGACCGGGGAGAGACGCGGGCCGGCTATCAGGGAGGCGGCTGTAGCGCAAGGGTCCGCGAAGGGCCAGATGGAGCGGCGCGGACGAGGGTAGGCGCACAGAAGGTGGGGAGAGAGGCGGTGGCCGTCCGGGCGGCGGGGCACCGGGCCGTCCGGGGCGGGGGGCGGGAGTCGCGGCGCGCCGGGCTCTCACCGCTGCTGAGCGTGGAATCGCAGTGCCAGCTGTCCAAGCTGGCGGGCTTCCGGCAGGACTCCCACAGGGACAGGTAGTACTGGTGGTCGGCCGTGACCCAGGCCGGGCTCAGCACGGCCCCCAGGTCCAGACACAGCGCCAGGAAGATGCACACCAGCCCGACCAGCTTCAGCGGGGTCAGCACCGACACGCGCACCTCCTCCATGCCGCTGCCCGCCGAAGCCATGCCCCGGGCGCCGCAGCCGCCCGCCCCGCCGGAGGCGAGGTCGCCAGGCGGGTCCGGAGAGCGGGGAGCCGGACCTCCTTTGGAGGGAAGCAGCGAGGCCGCCGCGCGCCGCGAAGGTAGGTCTGCGGGGACTACCGGCCGGGGTGGCGGGAGGGAGGGGGTCTTCGGCAGCCGCAGCGACGCCTATCCCGCCGGGGACCTTCGCTGCCAGCCCCGCGCCGCGCTATGCCGGCGCCTGCTCCGCCCCGGCGCGGCCAGGCTAGCTCCGCCCCGGCCCCTCCCCGGGCTGCGGGAGGCGGTGCCGAGCGGGGAGGGGCGGTGGGTCCGCACCCGGGCGGTGTCAAGCTCCGGCTCCCGCTGCGAGAGGCTAGCGCCGCCCCGCCCCTTGCTAGTGCGCGAAGCGGGTCTCTCTTCTCTGAACCCCGTGCGTGGCGCGCTCGGAACGAGTTGTCTCCTCCACAGTGTCCGGCACGCGCGGAGCCCAGAGCGAGCCTTTCGCCCCGGACGGGCTGCGCGGGGCAGTTCCTTGTAGCAGCTTGGTCTCCGGCCCCTGCCTCTGGCCTCTCTCGCTCCGGGGTCGCCTCGCTTCCCACCCCCACCCTCCGGTGTCACGTGGGTTTCCTTTTCTTAGCGAGCCTGGGTGGGTCCTTTTCTGGAAGGCGTCAGCTGTAGATTCATAGGTTTCTTGGGCTGTGGCCGTTCTAGCAAAGAGCAGTACTCTCTGTGGGTCTCTCTGATGTAAACCCTCCCCGCCGCCCCCCCCCCCCAGCCAATTTCTCCTCCCGGGGGATTTCGAGGAAGAAGAGTGACAAAAGGCATAGTCCTCTTTTCAAACCCAGGACGGACTCAGTCTCGGACCCAGGAATCCCGCAGTTTTTCCTATTTCCCAGCTTTCCCCCAATCCTGCCGTCGCTTCTATTCTCTGTGCTCGCCTCCTTTTGCGCCCCCTATAAAGGGCAATCCAGGGAACGCAAGCGCTAAAATGGGTATGAGAGCTCCTGCAAAATGTGAAGTAAACCTTACTTGGCTTCTCTGGGGCTCTGTTCTTTGATAGCGCGTTGACTTAAACCTTTATTCATTCGGCTTTGCGCTATGCCAAGTTAGATCTGAATTCCTCCCAGGGCATTAACTTATTCTTGTGCCCTCCAAGACCTAGCCCAGGGCCTGGCATAGGAAATGTGGCATATTTTTAAGTAATTAATCTACACACATTTATTGAGCACCTACTGTGCACTCCAAGCTGAAGATTCAGCCCAATATGACCTAGCGTTTGTTCTTAAGGAGATTCACTCACTCTTTTGTTTGTTTTCCTATCTGTGAGGTATAAACACCCCTTGAAATTGACTTTGTGGTTCTGTAATTGACTAGTGCAGCTTGCGCTTGGCGGGTTGTCTATTGTATCTCTTTGACGACTTTCCATTTTTCCTATAAAAGAAGCAATTTATTGAATAGATCATTGAGGATGGGGACGTTCCCAGATCTTTCACCATCTGGAAAATTTGGTAGAAACCCAAAATAGTGGTTCAGATCTGAAAAATGAAAGAAATGCCTCCTCTTTTTTATGGAAACACTGTCCTCGGCACTGTAGGATTTCATACTTTTTGTTGATAACAACTTCTTTCCTTGTAACCACATCTTTCCATAGAGCTGACCACATTTTGACCAAAGCAACATTTTGAATGGAAGAAACAATCCAGTTAGCGTCAAATGACTTGAGAATAATAATCAACCCAATGTGAAATAAAAACCCATGGTTTTTTTACATTTGGAAATTAGAAAATTGGCAACTTCCCCCTCACCTCTCAATTATGATATGTACTGCCCTTACAAAGGAATACCTAGACCACTCTGAGCTCCTTAACCTCTAACTTCCAATAAGCTTCTTGGTCTCCCAACTTTCCAAGGAGAAAGAAGCCTAAGCACTTCCCTGTGAAAACGAATGGAACACTGAAAAATTAAAAACCGGGATGATTAACAGGGACGACCAGGACTGTGATATTTTTCTTTTACCTGGATTTATGTTCGTGGGTTTAAAATGTACATTTGAAAATAACATTTAAGAAAATTTCTTGACTATGCCTCAAAGTTATAATCTTTTTTCTCCAAGTTTTATAACTGCCTTTAATAAGTTTTATTTCCAGTCAGCCAATATTTTTCTTTATCTTTGTTTCCTCTAATTTGAGTTTCCTTCCTTCTCCACTTCCACCCTAGCTGCTCTGTGCACCACCACCCCCACCCCACACACACTCATTTTGCTTCGTTTTTCTGGCTTGTTTTCAACTGCTTACTTGAGTGAATCCATCTTTCTTTATCCTACCTACAGAATTTTCTCTGTACTGTGTCCAAAATTAGAAAAATAAGCCATTTTTAACTACAAGCTCCCGAATTCTCCTGAAATACTCCATTCCTCTGTTAATTATTTTTAGAATTTGCACAACATAATATAGATCTACCATCCTTAATCCTCACTTTTAAAATATGAAAACTTTCAAGACAAAGTATTTTGTTGTCGTTGTTCTCATAAGTTTGTAGCAAGCTCATTTGGTGGAAAAAACAATTCCAGACTGATGTGAGGCTATTTATGGTTTTGGTTTATCTCCACTTAGCATGAATAAATATGCAGCCATGAATAAATATGGGTATTGCCTAAATTTACAGTATATTCACCAGAGTATCCTTTTTTAAAAAACAGGTTTTATTGGGCGCCTGGGTGGCTCAGTTGGTTAAGCGACTGCCTTCGGCTCAGGTCATGATCCTGGAGTCCCGGGATCGAGTCCCACGTTGGGCTCCCTGCTCAGCAGGGAGTCTGCCTCTCTCTCTGACCCTCCCCCCTCTCATGCTCTCTATCTCATTCTCTCTCTCAAATAAATAAATAAAATCTTAAAAAAACCACAGATTTTATTTATTTATTTATTTATTTATTTATTTGACACAGAGAGAGAGAGAGAGAGGGAGAGCAAGCACAAGCAGGCAGAGTGGAAGGCAGAGGGAGAGGGAGAAGCAGACTCCCCGCTGAGCAGGGAGCTGGATGTAGGGCAGGACCCTAGGATCATGACCTGAGCTGGAGGCAGTTGCTTAACCGACTGACCCACCTAGGCACCCCTGCACTAGAGTAGAGCTACCCTATGACCCAGCAATTGCACTATGGGTATTTATCCCAAAGATACAGATGTAGTGAAAAGAAGGGGCACATGCACCCCAATGTTCATAGCAGCAAAGCCATAATAGCCAAATTGTGAAAAGAGCTGAGATCCCCTTCGACAGATGAATGGATAAAGAAGATGTGGTCCATATATACAATGGAATATTATTCAGCCATCAGAAAGGATGAATACCCACCATTTGCATCGACATGGGTGGAACTGGAGGGAATTATGCTAAGTGAAGCAAGTCAAGAAGAGAAAGACAATTATCGTGTGGTTTCACTCATACGTGGAATATAAGGAATAGCATGGAGGACATTAGGAGAAGGAAGGGAAAAATGAAGGGGGGGAAATCAGAGGGGGAGACGAACCATGAGAGACTATGGACTCCGAGAAACAAACTGAAGGTTTCAGAGGGGAGGGGGTGGGGGGATGGGTTAACCCAGTGATGGGTATTAAGGAGAGCACATACTGCATGGAGCACTGGGTGTTATACAAAAACAATGAATCGTGGAACACTACATCAAAAACTAATGATGGGGGTGCCTGGGTGGCTCAGTCGTTAAGCGTCTGCCTTCGGCTCAGGTCATGATCCCAGGCTCCTGGGATCAAGCCCCGCATCGGGCTCCCTGCTCTGCAGGGAACCTGCTTCTCCCTCTCCCACTCTCCCTGCTTGTGTTCCCTCTCTCGCTGTGTCTCTCTCTGTCAAATAAATAAATAAAATCTTTTTAAAAAAAAGAAACTAATGATGTATGGTGACTAACATAATTTAAAAAAATAAAAGAGTATCCTTTAAAAATTTGAAAAAGTCTGACTTCCTCAACACAGCTAGCCCAAAAAGTTTTACATAAGGAATGGTGGACTTACATTTACCCTAAAGATGGAAAAAGTAGTGTGGAGGATTCCAACAATTAGTAAACATTGAATGAAAACTACAAAAAACAAGTTAACTGACAAAGTGGGATAGGAAATGACAACTAAGGAGTGTGTGTGTTTGTGTGTGTGTATAGGAGGGAGGTAGAAATGAGGATTGAAATGGACTTATATCTGAGAAATGATATGGACCTACATTGAACTGTGAAGAAAGTTAGAGTTTCTAGCTCAAAAGAATTTACTTGAAATCTCTTAAAAGCAATGACTTAGTTGGCCCTGTACTATATAGTGTCATACAAAGGCCAGAGGTCCCCTCTTTTCCCTGAGCCTAGCCTGGGACACCATGGCACTGTGGTCACCCCTCTCCCTGGGCCTCAGGGGGGCAAAGACTAGAGGCCCTAACTCCATCCCATGGTATAGGAGCTCCATGAAAATTGGAGTCACAGAACTCCGATGTGTGACTCTGTGTGAGAGGTATAGCCAGGGAAAGGCAGGGAGGAGTCATTCCCTAGGCCCTGAAGTAAAAGAAAAGATGAGCCTCATGCTTGAATCAGGCCAGAAAAATGAGGCAGCAATGTGAGAGGTGAGGTCAGATGGAAGAGATTGGGAAGTTCATCAGAAAAATAGAAAAGTATCATGGTGGGAGGTAGAGGGTATGGAAGAGATGGGGAGGAGGAACACATTCCAGATGTTAAAGGTGTCTTAAGAGAATAAAGAGGAATAAATGTCATGTTGTCTGCTCGGTCTGTCAGCAAAGGCACATCTCTGCATTTGCTTGGCATTTGAAATGTACAACTACTAATGTGCAGCTACTAAGGCTCATTTGGCACTGGGATCACATCCAGATGTGGCATACCGGTTAGACCTATTTGCTCTGAGAGAGGAAGAAATAGAAAGGAGGGGAAAGTGATGAAGCAATCATTAAAAGATTAGAAATACACACCAACTCTTTTTCCAGTGTCACAGAAAATAATGTTGGCAAAA